GCAGAATTAAAGTAATTACAGTGAATTCTTAACTAACATATACAGTACAGAATTAAAGTAATTACAGTGAATTCTTAACTAACATATACAGTGCAGTAAGTGTTTAGTATTCTGAGGAACATTTTAAGTGATTAGTTTACTTTTATACAGTAAAAAATGGCAAATATACCTCAGTTTCCTGCGTTTGATCCTGACTGTGACCAGACAAACCTGTCACAGAGGTGGACCAAATGGCTCAAAAAGTTTGAAAATTTGTTGATAGTTTCAGACATCAAAAGTGCTGAAAGAAAGCGTGCCTTTCTACTTCATTATGCAGGTGATCGAGTTTGTGACATTTTAGATACACTGAAAGACACTGGTGGTGCCAAAGATTATGACACTGCCAAAGCCAAATTAACTGAGCACTTCAAACCAAGGCAAAATACTGCAATGGAAATTATGCATTTCAGAAGAGCCAGACAACTCTCTAATGAAACTGTGGATCAATACAACACACGTCTGCAGGGATTAGCAGCCCATTGTGAGTTTGCTGATGTTGACAAAGAAATCAAACAGCAAATAATTGAAACATGCACATCTACACATCTCCGTCGAAGAGCTCTAGAACTTGTTGATGATGAAAGTTCTCTTACCAAGATACTGGATATTGCTCGTCGAATGGAAGATGCTGCACGTGATGCTCGTGTCATGGAGTGCAGTGCCAACAACAGCTCTGCCACTGTTACTAACAGTGATGAGGTACGTAAGGTTCAGGGAGGTCACCGTGATCAAAGAAAATATCATGGCAAACCTAACAGCAAATTTAGCCGAGAACCACATCACAACTGGAGTCATGGAACAAGACTCAAGCAGTCACAACGACTCACATCAGAGGGTGTCAACAATAAATGTTACAATTGTGGAGGAGACTACCCACACCAAGGTAATGTTTGTCCTGCACAAGGTAAGAAGTGCTATGAGTGTGGAAAACTAGGTCATTTTGGTGCTGTGTCGTTCTGCACTAAAGAAACCACAGTCAGTGAATAAAAGCACTGTACGAGGATCAGGTTATAGGGATCGAGGTGGCAAACACAATATTGCACCTCATATCCAAAATGTTAATAATGTACAAGACAACATTTCATTACAACCAGTCTCAGATAACAGTGAATGTGATTATACTTATGGAGTACAAGCAATCACAGAATGGAATGATCTTCCAAACAACCCAGAGACTATAGTATACATTGCTGGTATTTGTCTCAAAGTTCTCATTGACTCTGGATCAAACATTGACACCATTGCTGAATGTCACTATGAGAAATTTAAAAAACAGTTCCCAAAGCTTGAAAACTACAATGGTAAAGCCACTGCCTATGCTTCAAAGGTAGCCTTGCCAGTGATTACTTTCACAGCAGAGATTAAGTCAAAGAATGCAATGCTCATTACTACATTCCATGTTGTTAGGAATGCAAAGGAGTCTTTGCTCAGTTACAAGATTTCAACCAAATTGGGGCTACTTCAGCTTTCTAATGCTGTAGCAGTGGAATCTGCAAACAATGTTGATGCTATTGTTGATGAATTTTCTGATCGATTTGAATCCATAGGTTGTTATACTGATAGCAAAGTACATCTGCATATCAACCCAGATGTAATTCCAGTTGCCCAACCACATCGCCGACAACCATTCCATACTCGCAAGAAAGTCGATGCCGAACTGGATAGGCTGATCGAACTAGATATCATTGAACCAGTAACAGGCCCAACACCATGGGTAAGCCCAATTGTCACTCCACCAAAGCCGAAGAATCCAGATGATATACGCATTTGTGTGGACATGCGTGTTCCCAACAAGGCAATAATGCGTGAACGCCATCCTACACCCACTGTAGATGATATGATATACTGCCTGAATGGTGCAACTGTATTCAGCAAGTTAGATTTAAACAAGGGCTATTGGGTAACCTTGAGGTTATCTTGAGGAGCTTCCGGGGCTTAGCGTCCCCGCGGCCCGGTCGTCGACCAGGCCTCCTGGTTGCTGGACTGATCAACCAGGCTGTTGGACGCGGCTGCTCGTAGCCTGACGAGCTTGAACTTGATGATGAGAGTCGCTTCATCACAACGTTTACGACACATCGAGGTCTGTATAGGTACAAGCGCCTGAGTTTTGGTATTAACAGTGCTGCTGAGGTATTCCAGCACATCATCAGCCAGGTATTGCAAGATATACCTAATGCTGACAACATGTCTGATGACATCATTGTTTATGGCCGTACCCAAGCTGAACACGACAAAGCTCTTCGTGCAACATTGCAACGCTTACGAGAAAAGAATCTGACGCTAAGCAGAGCAAAGTGTGAGTTCAATCAACATAAAATTAAATTCTTTGGACATGTGCTTAGTGAAAAAGGTCTATCTCCAGGATCCTAAGAAAGTTGCAGATATCAAGAATGCTGCACCTCCTTCAACATCCACTGAGGTACATAGTTTTCTGGGAATGGCAAACTACTGTTCTCGCTTCATTCCAGGTTTTGCTACCATTACGAAGCCTCTACGTGAGCTCTTGAAGAAAAATGCATCATGGTACTGGAGCGATATCGAGCAAAATGCATTTGATGCTGTGAAAGATGTACTAGTAGAGAATGCGACTGCTGCGTATTTTGATCCATCAATGGACACTGAGTTAACGGTGGATGCTAGTCTTGTTGGTTTAGGTGCTGTTTTAGCCCAACACAAACCTGGTCAACCAGATTCCAGAGTAGTAATTGCCTACGCCAGCCGTTCTCTCACAGATGTTGAGCAACGATACAGTCAGACAGAGAAGGAAGCTCTTGCTCTTGTATGGGGCTGTGAACACTTTAATGTGTATCTGCTTGGTGCACCCTTCACCACGATAGTCACTGACCACAAACCGTTGGAGACCATCTTCAATAATCCAAAGTCCAAACCACCAGCTCGCATTGAGAGATGGGCTCTTCGTCTGCAACCATACAACTTTACGGTGAAATACAAGCCGGGTGCAGGCAATCCCGCTGATTACATCAGTCGACATCCTGCCAACAGTTTCACCATCACCAAGCATCAGCAAGTTGCCGAGGAATATGTACACTCTGTAACCTGTGATGCAGTCCCTAAGGCTCTCACTCTTGATGAAATCCGTACTGCAACCCTAGAGGACCTAACTCTGCAAGCAACAGTGGATGCACTGACTAAGAAAAAGTTTTCACGCATCCCACCCTCAGGAGTTGACCAAGATGCATTCAAAGCACTTGAACGCATCCAGACAGAATTAAGTGTTACGCAACAACGCGACACTGTGCTGCGAGGTACTCGTATTGTCATTCCAGCTGTTCTCCAGCAACGTGCTCTGAAGCTTGCACATCAAGGACACCAAGGTCTTGTTAGGACCAAACAGCTGCTACGAGAAAAGGTGTGGTTTCCTGGCATTGATCGTCAAGCAAAGGATATGCATGATGCCTATGTCCCTTGCCAAGCTGCAGTGGATACTTCAAGACCAACACCTCTACAACCTTCACCACTACCTGCTGCACCATGGACGGAAGTATCGATGGACTTCTGCAGACCGCTACCAACTGGAGAGTACTTGATGGTAGTCATTGATGATCACTCACGTTATCCAGAAGTAGAAATCATCACTTCCACATCTGCAAAGGCTGTTATCCCGAAACTCGACAAGATCTTTTCAAACTTTGGCATTCCTGAAGTTGTCAAGACGGACAATGGACCGCCATTCAATGGACAAGACTTCGTCAACTTTGCTGAGCATATTGGATTCAAACATCGCCGTGTGATGCCACTACATCCACAAGCAAATGGAGAAGAAGTTAAGAGATTCATGCAACCTCTCATGAAAGCGGTACGCTGTGCTCATGCCGAAGGACGATCCTGGAAACAAGTTATGTATGCTTTTCTCAGGAACTACCGTGCAACACCGCATGGAACACTGGGCAAGCCGCCTGGTGAACTCTTATTTGGACGTCCTACGAGGATACGTCCTACGTCCACTACCCGTCATGCCAGCTGAAGTAACGGATAAACGTCTCGCTCAGAAGGATACACTAGCCAAGGGCAAAATGAAAATTGCTCAAGATCAACGTGCAAAGGAACAATTCATAAAGGTTGGAGACACAGTTCTAGTTAAAAAGAAAAAAGAGGGAAAGCTAGATATGCCGTATGATACAAAACCATATAAAGTGATTAGTGTAAAAGGAACTATGGTAACAGCTAGTAATAGAGATCATAGTATAACACGTAATATGGCTTATTTCAAAGTGATTCCAACTAGTGTAGAAAATGATGAAGTGCTAAGTCATACAAACGATACAGAAAAAATGAGTTATAACCCGACAAACAATTCATCAAGGGATATTATTGTATTTAAGGACTCTCGTCCTAAACGTCATGTTAAACGCCCTATGCGATTTAATGATTAATTGTGTTCCTATGTAATGAAAAGTATTTACTTATTATGCTAAACTAAATTTAATATTGTTTGAATAATGCAGATCTCTCATTCAATATTTTGTAACTTTGTATTACAGTTTCTTTCATTTTTGTTTAACATTGCATATGTATTTTTAACACTGAAATCCTTTGTGGTAAAGATTAAGTTGTTTAAATTCTTTGTGTGCTTAATTAATGTTAAATGTATGCAGTATCTCTTGGTATGTTAATAACTTACTTTGTGTCAATAACTTTGCTTTGTGCTACAAGCATGGTAGACATCCTGTATTCATTCTTTTTAAAGAAAAGGAGAGATGTCATGTTCACAGAAAATGGTACCATCCGTTTTCTATGTGCGGCGGCTCAGACGCCAGGGAAGGTAAACAAAGAGCGTACAGGACGCCCGCCAAGCTTGGTAGCTGCTAGTCATGTAATCGTTTATAAGTATTAAAGTCAGTAACCAAGCAATGGCTTTATATCAACCCTACAACCAAGACTTCCTCATTAACACACGAATACCAGTGTCCAATGCATATACAAACAAATCTCACACTTACCATTATCTGCAGAGGTCTGCAGAGGTCTGTGTTGATGCCAGGAGGAAGTGTTGTGGTGGCGGTGCGTGTGCTCCCCACAGACCCCGCCCGCAGCGACCACCACCAGCAGCACCCACAGGTTGAGCACGGACCATGGAGACCACCACAACAACATCTTCAGCTTTGTTTCTCTTTTTATCCTCTGATGTTTTGATTCATAAGAGTTTTTATTTCTGCAAAAAGTGTATGTTTAGTTCAGGAGTACAGCACTGAGTGTAAGCTTTGTTCAGGGAACAACACTGAGTGTAAGCTTAGTTTAGGGTACAGAACTGGGTATTAGATTAAGTCAGGAGTACAGCAATAGGTATAAGCTTAGTTCAGGGTACAGCAATGGGGATTAGATTAAGTCAGGAGTACAGCACTCGGTATAAGCTTAGTTCAGGGGTGGAGCACTTGTTGTAAACTTATGGAACACAACTTTCGTTTAAACAATAACAAAATTTTACCACAGTCATAAAATCCAAAAACAGTTTGGAAAAAGTATATTACAGAATGTGAATAAAAACACGAGGTTAAAATCGCTGCAAGACATGAAGACCAGGAGTGTGATCTGGGCGGTAAGACCAGACATAAAGACCAAGAGTGCGCCCTGGGGCGGGAAAACCAGTCATGAAGACCTAGAGTTTAACCTGAGGTGTTGGAAATTTTCAACCCCCATTCTAACCAAAGTTCTAGAACATGCTAGGAACAATTGCATCAGCCGCCACATGTATGCGGTGACTATTCCTTTGCCTAGCACTTGATAAAAAAACTGTCATCAATCTGCTTTGATTTGCGTTTGATTATCTTAGATAGTTTATATATAATAATAATAATAATAATAATAATAATAATAATAATAATAATAATAATAATAATAATAATAATAATAATAATTTATTTAGGAACAGTACATACATAGTTGCAGAGCTATAGTACTAACATTCTGTTAGATTTAAAGTGTAATGTTATTTGTCTATTTGTACTCACTGAATTTGTGCGCCCCTTGAGGGACTTGAACTAGAGGGGGGTAGAAATAGCCTAAGCTACTCTATCCCTTTGAGATGTATTTATTGCTTATCTCAATAAACATACTTGAACTTGAACTTGAACTAGATTTAAAGATAGAGTTAGTACATACAATACCTAAAGCCACTAGTACGCATAGCGTTTCGGGCAAGGTGAGGTGGGAAAAAACACTTAGACTAAAATTTAATAGTAATTGAGCTTAAAGTATAAATTGTGTTGAATGAAAAAAATATAATAAAAGATAAAAAAAGGGGGGAGAACATGGTAGAAAATAGCCAATATACAAGTTGGTCAACAAACAGCATTTTTTTTTAAATAGTAAGACATGGGTTGACATTTAGAAGTAAGGTAGGTTACATGTTGTTAATTAGGTAGTATTTAGTTTTCCTCTTAAACTGGTTGAGAGAGGTACAATCTTTGACATAATTGGGAAGGTCATTCCACATTCTGGGTCCCTTGATATGTAAAGCATTCCTAGTTTGATTAAGTCTAACTCTTGGAATATCAAATAGGTATTTGTTTCTGGTGTGGTGCACATGAGTTCTGTTACAACCTTCTAGGAAGCGTTGAAGCTCAGGATTGACATTACAATTCAGAGTTTTAAATATATAGAGTACACAAGAGAGGATGTGCAGTGACTTAATATCTATCATATTCAGAGATTTGAGTAAGGGTACCGAGCGCTGTCTGGGGCCAGAGTTAGATATTGTTCTAATAGCAGCTTTGTGTTGGGTAATTAGAGGTTGTAAATGATTTTGGGTAGTAGAACCCCAAGCACAAATACCATAGTTGAGATAAGGATAGATGAGATAGTAATAGAGCGAGAGTAATTGAGTTTAAATAATGTTCATAGTAAATGAGAAGAATGTTTTCGCATATAAATTCGCATTTACCTCCTTTCATTGGTAAATTTGCACCGAAAATGTGTGCCTTGATTATCAGCTGGTGGGAGGAGGGGTGCGCCAGCCACTCAGGTGTGGCTGAGCCCCCGGCGAGATAAGATGACGCGTAGCCGTGCTCCCAGAAAAACTCCATGTTTGTGCTTATAGCCGCAGAATTGTCTGTACTGAGGTGCAAGTTGTGTAGTAGAATCGAGGTGTTGAACGGATCACTACATATCAAACTGCCGCATTCTCCGGTTGTATAAAATTAATATTTAATTTGTTGTGAGCTCGTAACATTGAAATTTCTACTGGGTTATGAGGCATATATAACATCAAACCCCATTAAGTCTCTCTCCCTTTCATTAGGTATTATTTCCTGTGTTATACTGCTCATATATTTGGCTGTTGCAATTGGTACTTTGTATTACCCAAGCAGATCTATGTTGGTGACGTGAGAGAGAATCTACTGGTTCCAACATGTTGGAGTTCATTAGAGTACAGAACGCAGTGACCACGGAGTCCACCTTTACTGCTTAAACCACCTAATGACTACTCTCGTGTTATGCTGAGCTAGGAGGAGATCTTCAGTCCAGCTAAGCTGAAAAATTAATCATTAGCAGAGTAGCCTACTAACCCTATAACCCTCATTTATTTATTATTATCATTAATGAAATTTATTACACATTTACATGCATTATGTAGACTAACATTATAAAATACTCCCCTCCCCCCAAAGTTTGTGTATTGAGATGGCTCTAGAATTAGCATTGAATTTTGTAACTAGCTCATTAAGATTGTAACTTGCTTACCTAAATGAATTGTGGGGTTCAGTCCCTGAGCCCATTATGTGCCTCTGTAACCCTTTCCACTACCGCCCACAAGATGGGTATGGGGTGCATAATAAATGAACTAAACTAAAAAAATCTAGAATTAGCATTAATTGACAGTTCATTTAATGTGATTTATTTGATTTCATTTCACATATAATAAAGGAGATCCTTAGGCACTGGTTCTCTTAATTATTAATAGAATTCTGGTCCTTCGAAACATTCAGCATTATTATTATTCTAGAGCTAGATTTCCCCACATACTTTTTGGTCGACTTCGAACCAGATAAACCAGTTCATTCAATTTAAACTACCGGTTCTCAGAACCCCAAATTCCTTTTGGTTCTTCGAACCAAGATGGTCAAGAGAGCTAGACTATTATTAAAGAACCAGTATAATTATTTACGACAGTAGGATACCTGCCACATATATATAATTACGGCAGTAAGATAACTACCACACCACATAACCATATACAGCAGCAGGATACTTTCCATACATAATTATATCTGTATATATTCTATATAATCAAAACCACAAAATCCGCAAAAATACAGCATTGATATATATCTATTTTATTGCACATCATTCATTGTATTTTATGCCAACCCAAAGGGGTAGGATTTTTAGACTGGAATTGTGCTAAGGTATGTACAACTCTGGCCTAACCCATTATTATTTGCCAACCTAGTTAGATAGGATTACTAGTAAACCTAGTAATCCTATCTACTAGTATTGTACCAGGCAGTATAAACTGCCTGGTACAATAAACTAGCATTGTACCAGGCAGTATAACTTAGTCAACATTTATTATTGTGCAGACCCAACTCAGGGCAGGACATCATTATTTTACACGAATTGTGTTTCCATATCTTATTATATTTACTGTGTACATCTTTGATGCTACTAGGTATCACTGTAACAACCGAAAGTGATGATGATGAGCTAGCTGGAGGTGCGACCGTAGTGACTTCCAAGCATCATTCAAATCTTCGCTATTTACAATTAGTTATGAAAGCTAACCTCTACATGAGGTAGAAGTTATATAGCCCAGTTTAGAAATTGAATACTAGGCTATCAGTAAGTGTACTGGTTCCACGTATATATGAACCAGTGAAATTGACCTCATACATAATGAAATGGGTAGCTTTATCATTTCATAAAAAAAAAAAAAAATAGAGAAAATATATTAATTCAGGAAAACTTGGCTTATTAGGCAAATCGGGCATTGCATAGTAGGCTCAGAAGTGCGTTCTGGCTACTAGGTACGACATATATATATATATATATATATATATATATATATATATATATATATATATGTCGTACCTAATAGCCAGAACGCACTTCTCAGCCTACTATGCAAGGCCCGATTTGCCTAATAAGCCAAGTTTTTATGAATTAATGTTTTTTCGACTACCTAACCTACCTAACCTAACCTAACCTACCTTTTTCGGCAACCTAACCCAACCTAACCTATGAAGATAGGTTAGGTTAGGTTAGGTAGGGTTGGTTAGGTTCGGTCATATATCTACGTTAATTTTAACTACAATAAAAAAAATTGACCTCATACATAATGAAATGGGTAGCTTTATCATTTCATAAGAAAAAAAATAGAAAAAATATATTAATTCAGGAAAACTTGGCTTATTAGGCAAATCGGGCCTTGAATAGTAGGCCAAAAAGTGAGTTCTGGCTACTAGGTACGACATATATATATATATATATATATATATATGTCGTACCTAATAGCCAGAACGCACTTCTCAGCCTACTATTCAAGGCCCGATTTGCCTAATAAGCCAAGTTTTCATGAATTAATGTTTTTTCGTCTACCTAACCTACCTAACCTAACCTAACCTAGCTTTTTTTGGCTACCTAACCTAACCTTACCTATAAATATAGGTTAGGTTAGGTTAGGTAGGGTTGGTTAGGTTCGGTCATATATCTACGTTAATTTTAACTCCAATAAAAAAAAATTCACCTCATACATAGAGAAAAGGGTTGCTTTATCATTTCATAAGAAAAATATTATAGTAAATATATTAATTCAGGAAAACTTGGCTTATTAGGCAAATCGGGCCTTGAATAGTAGGCTGAGAAGTGAGTTCTGGCTACTAGGTACGATATATATATATATATATATATATATATATATATATATATATATATATATATATGTCGTACCTAGTAGCCAGAACTCACTTCTCAGCCTACTATTCAAGGCCCGATTTGCCTAATAAGCCAAGTTTTCCTGAATTAATATATTTACTATAATTTTTTTCTTATGAAATGATAAAGCAACCCTTTTCTCTATGTATGAGGTCAATTTTTTTTTATTGGAGTTAAAATTAACGTAGATATATGACCGAACCTAACCAACCCTACCTAACCTAACCTAACCTATATTTATAGGTAAGGTTAGGTTAGGTAGCCAAAAAAAGCTAGGTTAGG